GATCTGTCCTGTGCATTCTATGATGATTAGCAGCACCCCTGGTGTCTCCCCACTAGTATCCTGAGACTTTGCCAAATGTTCCCCAGGGAGCACAGGTGCAAAATCACCGCAGCTGAGAACACCAGTTTCTGCCTAGCTGCCCATTTCCTTTCTTTCTTTTTTTAAAAATATGTTTTATTGATTATGCTATTACAGTTGTCCCATTTCCCTCCTTCACTCCCCTCCACACTGCACACCCCCTCCCACCCATATTGCCCCCCTTTAGTTCATGTCCATGTGTCATACTTGTAAGTTCTTTAGCTTCTACATTTCCCAAAAATAGCTTCTATTTTCTACCTACCTTCTATGCTACTTATTCTTTGTACCTTCTCCCCCTCTCTCCTCCTCCCACTCCCCTGTTGCTAACCCTCCATGTGATCTCCATTTCTGTGTTTCTGTTCCAGTTCTAGTTGTTTGCTTAGTTTGCTTTTGTTTTAGGTGTGGTTGTTAATGATTGTGAGTTTGCTGTCATTTTACTGTTCATGTTTTTTGTCTTCTTTTTCTTAGATAAGTCCCTTTAACATTTCATATAATAAGGGCTTGGTGATGATGAACTCCTTTAACTTGACCTTATCCGAGAAGCACTTTATCTGCTCTTCCATTCTAAATGAAAGCTTTGCTGGATGGAGCAATCTTGGATGTAGGTCCTTGCCTTTCATAATTTGGAATACTTCTTTCTAGCTCCTTCTTGCCTGCAAAGTCTCTTTTGAGAAATCAGGTGACAGTCTGATGGGAACTCCTTTGTAGGTAACTGTCTCCTTATCTCTTACTGCTTCTAGGATCCTCTCCTTCATTTTTACCTTGGCTAATGTAATTATGATGTGCCTTGGTGTGTTCCTCCTTGGGTCCAACTCCTTTGGGACTCTGAGCTTCCTGGACTTCCTGGAAGTCTATTTCCTTCGCTAGATTGGGGAAGTTCTCCTTTATTTGAGTGTTCAAATAAGTTTTCCACTTGTTGCTCTTCCTCTTCTTCTTCTGGTACCCCTATAATTTGGATGTTGGAATGTTTAAAGATGTCCTGGAGGTTCCTAAACCTCTCCTCATTTTTTTGAATTCTTGTTTCTTCATTCTGTTCCAGTTGATTGTTTATTTCTTCCTTCTGCTCCAAATTGTTGATTTGAGTCCCAGTTTCCTTCCCATCACTATTGGCTCCCTGTACATTTTTCTTTATTTCACTTAGTGCATCCTTCATTTTTTCATCTAATTTGTGACCAAATTCAACCAATTCTGTGAACATCCTGATTACCAGTGTTTTGAACTGTGCATCTGGTAGGTTGTCTATCTCTTCATTGCTTAGTTGTATTTTTTCTGGAGCTTTGATCTGTTCTTTTATTTGGGCCATTTTTTTTTTCAGCATGGCTGTTACATAGTAAGGGGCAGAGCCTTAGGTATTCACCAGGGCAGGGCAACCCATGTCACTGGGTTTTGATGCTGTATGTGGGGGAGGGGTCTGAGAGGAAAAAAATGGCGCTTGCTCCACTCTCTGCAGGATTTCGGTCACTTTACCCACTTTCCACAAGCAAATTGGGCCCTTCTGGTGCTGATTCCCATGTGGGTGGGTTTGTATACATTCTAGGGCCCTGTGGGTCTCTCCAACAAACTCTCCTATGAAGTTGGGAGTTTCTCCTGCCGCTGCCTGAACCCCCACAGGTATTTTCAATCAGTGGTTTGAGGCTTTATTTGCCTGTGCTGGGGCCCTGGGTTGTGCAGTCCAATCTGCTCTCCAGTGGTTTCTCCTGGTTTATCTGCACGCAAATGTGGGACCGCCCGGTCCACCAGCTGCCTTGGATGCCGCACCCCATTTCACAATCTGCCACCTCACTGGGATCCATCAGCCACTGCTTTGCCACGAGTCCTGTCTGCCCGGCTGCCCAACTCCACCCCTCCTGCCAGTCTGGATGAATGTTTCTTCGTTAACTCCTTGGTTGTCAGACTTTATACAGTTTGGTTTTCTGTCAGTTCTAGTTGTTTTTTGTTTTTAAATTATTGTTGTCCTTCTTTTGGTTGTGTGAAAAGGCACAGTGTGTCTACCTATGCCTCCATCTTGGCCAGAAGTTTCCCATTTCTGTGTGTTTCATTTCATGGGTGCCAAAGGCACCTCTTCTTACTTTGTGGAAGCTGACACCTCTACATTATAACAAACTTGATTATTTTCAGAGAAAAACAAATTCCTCTGAAAATGTACATACTGGGGTGGGCCAACACAGGTTCACAGTTGTTTGCATGGAAAAGGGCATGCTGGTTATGATTGTTGCAGTAGCTTTAATAACTCTGTGTTTCAAGTACTTGCAACTGTATGCCCGGTCCTGCCCACCCCTGTGCCCCTTGTGGGGAAAGCATTGGGGGAAGTGGCTGAAAGTGGTACTTTGGCACCAGATTGCCTGGTTTTTAACTCAGGTCGCCCTGCTTACCAACTGTGCAGATTTCTTTTAACTTTTTATTTTGAACAGACTTTAAAATTATAAAAAAGTTCCAAAAATAGTACAGAGTTTCCACATATCCTTCCCTTGGCCTCCTCTATGTCAACGTCTTAGGTAATATAATACAATTTCTTAACTGCCTTCTGCCTCAGTTTTCTCATCTATAAAACTAGGACCTGCCTACCTCCTATAGCTGTTAAGAGGACTGAATGGGATAATTCATGTAAAATACTCAGAATAGCACCTGGCACATATCAAGTGCTCAGTGAACGTCAGTGATTATTTCATTGTTATTCCCTGTGACTTTAAAATCTCCAAAAACAATGAGTGTTTAGTGGAGAAACAGACCCCTTACATATCATATCGGTCAGTGCCCTCCTGTGTGTCCACCTCCACCTGGCTGAGCTCACAGGTTAATCCACACAATCCTGTCCACCTGCTTCTCCCTCCCCTGACATCCTGAAGGGAATCCTGGATCCTGACCACTGTTGTTACCTTCCAGGGACTTGTTCCAGGGTCTCAGCTGCTGTGAATGCAGTGAAGAAATGCCAGTAGAGTCCTCCTGTTCTAAGCAGCCAGGCTAGCAGAACCTGTTATTAGCACCGATGCTTCAGCTTCAGGGTTACCTGCATCCTTGAGTCTGCTCAACACTCTCCCTCAGGGCCCCCTACAGAATTTACACAAAAGCACAGATGCCTCCAATCAACAGTGCAGCATCAATTCTTGCTGAGCTTGAGGTTTCTGGGCCTGGTGTTGCCAGAGGGAATGTTGAATCAGAGGAAACAGCAGAAAAGGTCCTGGGCTCTTGCTTTTGCCTCCACACAGAGGTGTCAGAGCAATTTGTAAATGGTGATTAAGCTCACCTCCCCACTCCATAACAATGTGAGTGCTCAGTATATCATGTAGATGGAAGGACTGGGGCCTAAGGAGAGAACCCAACCTTTACACTCCCACAGCTTGCAGGGTGATGAGAGGCTACTTGGCAGCACTGTACTGTGAGTACCTGAGAACCAGCAGAACTTGATCTGTTCACCTGCCTGCTGGGAGCTAGAGGTTCAGTCTAAACTAATTGCTGGGAGCTCAAATGTATTCAGTCATTAGAGCTTCACTTTGGGAAAGGAGCTGAATCCTAATTGTAGAACTGTCATGCATTCTGGCAAATGCTGCCTTCCAGGCACTGGAGAGAGCCTTGACCAGTCTCTCCCCCTCTCTCTCTCTCTCTCTCTCTCTCTCTCTCTCTCTCTCTCTCTCACACACACACACACACACACACACACATACATATACACACACACCTCTGCAGCCCAAGCCCCACTGACCCCTTGGTTGGCTATTCTAAACTCTCTGAACATAGCTGCCATGCTTGGGGCTCATTCAGAAGCCCTGGCACTGGGCCCAGCTTTCAAGTGTGGCTTTCAAAACCCTGAGAGGCTAGGAATACTTACTCAGAGACACTCCAGGGCCTGGCTGAACAAGTGTGCCCCTTTTGTCTCCCCTCCTTTTGTTGCATGTCATGTTTGCACACTTTTTTCCCCACAGCACCAAGTATGAAAATAAATGGCTGAATTTCATTTCTGTCTCTTCCCTCTGCTAGTAAGAGTGATTTAGAATGGAGATCTGACCAGGCCAGTCTTCAGCTCAAATTCCCTGTCGTTCCATACCACAATTAAGAAAAAGTCTGATCTCTGTAGAAAGGCACCAATACCACATGGGGACTCAGGCATGGCCCAATTGTGCTGCTGTGGCTCTTCCCTCTCCTCATCAGACAGGACCCTCCACGTATGCAGAAGTTGTCCAGGTTTAGCGCAGTCTGTTCTGGAGATTCAGGGTAGTGAGGGGCTGTGAGGAGTTAAAACAAATGAGGAACACAGCCGTGATGGTGACAAGCATACACATATTAACTATTCCCATGTCAGCTGCTGTTTGTGAGTGTTTCCTGTATGCTAAACTCTGTATGACTCTCTTTAATTTAATCCTGAGAACAAACCCGGGAGGTTGGTAGCAGTGTTCTTTGCATCACAGAGGCTAAGAGGCAGGCTCCAGACAGAGTTCAGTTGCCTATTTCAAATCCAGACGTTACCACTGAGCCGCTGTGTGAGGTTGGGCAAACGACTCCACCTATCAATGCTTCCGTTTCATCCCAGACAAATGAGGATGATGGCATTAAAGTGCACCCCTCGAAGGGTGGTGGTGAGGAGCAAATCAGTTAATACAGAAAAAGTGCTCGGAACAGTGTCCAGCATGTGGTGAGTTTTATTACACTGGGCGACTGCAGAGGGGACCAATGCTCACAGAGAGGTAACTCTTGTTTGTGGTCTCTCACAGCCTCCTGCCACTGGGTTGTAAATATGGATATTTGCAGTTTCTTTTAGACACACACCCAGTGCCCATCAGTCAAGGGCCCAGGCCTTGGCCATTGTGCCTGTCCCTCAGCGAAAGGGGCCACAGAGCAACCGTCTGTGTGGTGTGTGCTTTCCCAGCTCTTGCTATCACTGACACTGAAACTCAGCAGAGGCGTTTTTCCATTGACTTGTTCACCAGGTCAAAAGCATTCAAGATGCAATTCGAGATAAGAAGCAGCAATTCAACTTCCTTGGGGAAGAGATTAGCCTGAATCCTTCTGTGGGCATCTTCATCACCATGAACCCTGGCTACGCTGGCCGCACGGAGCTGCCGGAGAACCTGAAGGCTCTCTTCAGGTGAGCATTGGCCCCGCCCCATGTGAGTGCCCCAAAGGGAAGCTTCTTTTATTTTTCTGCTGGAAAGGTGTGACCTATGAATTAGAGGACATTTTGAACATATAGAAAAGTAGATTTTTTTAAAAAAAAACCTGTAATGTCATCACCAGTAAGATGGTTTTTTGCTTGTGGCCTGTTTTTCTTTATGTGCATATTTTAAAGCCATATATTTGTAGCCTTCATTTGTTGTCTATACAGAGTTTGATATTGTTTCTTTTTCATTTCATAGTCTATCATAACCATATCATAGTTTCCTCTGTTAGATACTCTTAATAAATCTCATTTCATGACTGCATTTTATTCTATCAAGTACATGGTCCATGTGAAATTCACTACTCCTCATAGTTAAATATTAAGACTATTTCTAACATTTAAAATGTTTATGCATAATGTTATAATACACATCTTTGTAAATGTCTTTTTTTCTATATGCATGATTATTTTCTTTGGCTAACTTCCCAGAAGTGGAATCACTGAGTTAAGAGGGAGGAACATTTTTAAGGCTTTTGATACCACATTGCTAAATTGCTTTCTAAAAAGAGACATGCCAAGTTACATTCCTAATAGCAATGCATGGGAATACTTATTTTTACTTTTGCCAGTGATGGATAGTAGCATGTTTTAAAATCTTCCTTATTTTGACAAGAAAACACAAATGCCTATCCTAGCGGGACCTGGAATCTCCACTCTTTTTTCAGAAAAGAGCCCAACAAAGAGCAACTTGAAAGATGCTTCGTGGCATCTCATGGTCCTCCCACTGGATGGTTACCCAGGAGCAAGGCTGGGGGAGCTGTGATGAATTTGTCTGGCTTGGCTCTGGATGTGAGGGCATAAGCAGCCACAGGGAAGCTCCCTGGGTACCCAAGACCCTCATGTCTAAACTGCCTCAGGGCTGGCAAATTCCTGTCTCATGGGAGCGAGAGCAGGTAGGTATCTCCTCCTTCAGCCAGGTCCCCACTTCAGCCAAGAGCTTTTGAGAATTTCAGCAGGCTGTCTAAACTGGCACCATTGAACACCCTGCTGTTTTCTAGTTGTTCACACAGAGTACTTAATAAACAAGCCTGTGTCACAAATGATAATGGAGCTGGGTTATCCCCATGATACGAATTAGTCCTCATATTTCCCCCTGAATTTAAACAGAACATATATCCATGGAAAATCAGGGTGAGGGGGACTGAAGAATATTTGTAAAAGTAATAAATACAAACATGATTTACATTTAATTCTCAGAAAAAAACATGTGGGGAGATACTATTGGTACAATAAGAAAACAGATGGATTCAGCAAACTGCTCAAGGTAGTAACCCTAGTTACTGTGGTTAGCTAGTAACCCAGCTGTAAGCACCAGAACTGCAGTTTGAACCCAGGCCTTCTGGCTCCAGACTCTCTTCTCCTCGCCAGAGCAGTCCTCCCATCCAAAGATAATCAGTGTAACCATTTGGCATTCTTCCTCCCAGTGTTTTGTGTGTGGAATGTGTATTCTTTTTCAAAGTTGGGATCAGACTTACATAGTTTAGTATCCTGCCTTTATTGGTTAACGTCTCCCTGGGTCATTAACTAGTTTTTTTCTTTTACACATTATCTACCACAGCGATATCACATTCCATAGTGTGGATATATATTTAACTTTATTTCATATTGCAAAATAGTTTTGAGTTGCTAAGCATTTTGTTGCTCCTTTGACTTTGAATGTCATGAATAATTTGAAGGAAAAAGGTACTTGAATGAAATGTTTTTGAAAATTTTGTATCAGTGTAGGAAAAATGCAGTTAAAGATTGTAACAACCCTGTGCTCCTATTAAATACCTAATAAATAATTTTTAAAATAAGTAATTTTAAAATAAAATGTTTCTAGAGTCAGGGGGGGGAAAGCAAAGTAAATTCTCCTACAGAGACAAAAAGCCACTTCTGCATTCTCATGTATGCCGGTTTGGGACAAGGTAAGGTTAATAAGTACTTACTTTAACCCTCAGCATTAAGTACAAACATTTATATTTGTATGCAGGTAAGTGCAAAATAAGCCCTTCATGTCTAGGCTTAGAAGAGAGATACGTGATCAGGATGAGAAACAGAGAGATCCTCAGTTTCCTATAGACACCAAGAGGGACTCAGTTCCTCAACCTCAGCCCCTCACCTGTTCTACACAACTTGCTTTACTAATCTGCATCTTGTGTAAAGGTACTAGACTCAAGTTACAAGACTTGAGTTGTAGCCTCAAACTCTGCCCATGTCTACTAACATCATCCATCAACTTGGGGAAGAGGGTTCACTTCCTTTATCCTTAGTTCATGCAACTTTCAGTTGGAGGTCTTAGAGGAAACCACCACAAAGGTCTAGGATTTACATTCACCAGTGCCTCCATCTGTGATCTCAGCTGGTGCCTCCTGCCTTAGGCACTCCCCTTCAACTATGCAGTAAGGAACTGTCTCACCCTTTGTCTCCCTGTGCACAGGCCCTGCGCGATGGTGGTTCCAGACTTTGAATTGATCTGTGAGATCATGCTGGTGGCGGAAGGATTCATTGAAGCCCGGTCATTAGCCAGGAAGTTCATCACCCTTTACCAGTTGTGCAAAGAGCTTCTCTCCAAACAGGTACACTCCCTAGTTAAACCAGAAATTCTGTCGTGTGACTGCTGAAGCTCTGGATGGATTCCAGGGTTAGTGTATTAGGGAAGTTATTAGAGACTTCTAGAGTCGCTGTGCCCATAAGCTTATTAAAAGTTCTGAGCACTTCTATAATTAAGATCTGTGTCCATTTTCTTAGCCCAACATTTTAAAAATTTGACCACAGAGCTCCCATTTTTAATTGAATGTGTGGCAACACCTCATAGATCAGCAGTATCCTATGAGACACATGGCAGCAGCTGAGAAAAACCTTTAGAGTGTATTGTCTTCTGCTGAAGGGAATTGAGAGGGACAGAGGGTAGAGGAGAGAAAGCTGGGCACTAAGGAACCCCTAGCTTCTCACTGCTGCTTGGCCTTAAATGGGGGTCCTGCCTAGGGAAGATCCCTTCACAGAAATAACTCCTTAAAACATGATCAAGAACCTCCAATGCTGGTGTCTTAGATAGAGAATTTCTTGGTGGCCATCAGCACTTCCCTTTGGGGAATCTCTTACTTGGATCATCTTTGTTGCCAAAACATGAGCTCTCTCAGCCCTGAGAAACTTGTCCAAGATGGATTAAAAAGCCTCTCCTAATTTCCTCACCCTTCCCAGGCCCCTTGTTCATCACATCCTCTCTCCAGGTTCTCTGCTGCCAGTGACTTCCAGGCCAGTGACTTACTTTCATAACCACAACCCTAACCTCTCTTTTGCACACTGAACCTGTATATTCAATGGTCTATACCACAGTTCCCCCACATGTCTAAAAAGCACCTCCAGGTCAGCATCTAAAGTTGATATTCCTATCAGCCTCCCCCTACTTTGGCATTTCTCCTTTCAGTAGTCACCATTTACCCACTTGCTAGTTCTGGAACCTTGGGAGTTATCCCTGATAACCTTCCTCTACCTCAGCCCTCTGTCTCATCATGAGGGAACTGTTGCTCATTCTACCCTCTGCATCTCTCTCAAACATGTTATTTTCTTTCTAAGACTTTAGTTCCAATCACACGTCTCTTGCTTAAACTTTTAGAACTAGTTTTTCCACTTCTATTCTAGTCCCTTGAATTCATTCTTTAGCCAATAGCTAGAGTGATTCACTTAAAAATGCTCCTCAGTGTTAGAATAAAGACCAATATACTTATCACTCTCCATAAGAGACTTGCATGGAGCTCTGTCTCTTGCAAACTTCCACAGCTTCACTCCACAGCCTTCTCCATATTGTACTTGCTGTATCTACATTGGTTTCTTTGAGTTTGGTGTGCAGTGAAGACAAAGAAGATAGTGGCAGTACTTGAGCTTAGGACCACACTGCCCTGAAGAAGCAATAATAAAAAGGACCTGAGGAAGTAGAATTCAGTCAAGCACAGATGAGAGAGAAATATAGTCAAGGCCAGAGGAACTCCTGTTCCACAGGCTCAGGGGAGGGAAGACAGGCAGCTTCAAGTATAGTCACCATGTCTATTGTCTTCATGGCATACTGAATTGTCCTTTACAGCATGTATCACAAAACAATCTGCTATGAAGCAAGTAGTAGAGCTGGGATTTGAACCTAGGTCTGTCTCAGTTCAGACTCTGTGCTCTAAACTGCACATTCCACCACTTCCCCCACCATGCTGTTTGGAGGCCTGATGTCAGCAGTATGGTCTACTCTTCCCAGAATCTATCATAGTGACCAATGGGTTCCACATTTAACAAAATATTTTTCACATTCAATTTTATATTAGTTTCAGGTATATAGCATATTGTTGTACATTTGTAACTTGGAAAGTGATCCCCAATAAATCTTACACCCACCCTACACCATGTGTGGTTATTACAATTAGATTGACTATATTCTATAAGCTGTACTTTACATCCCTGTGACTAATTTGTAATTGTAACTGTCAATTTGCACCTCTTAAGCCTTGTACCTTTTTAACCCAGTCCCTAATTCCTCTCCCCCTCCCAATCTGGCAACCATCAGTTTGTTCTTGGTATCTATGAGGTTGTTTCTGTCTTGCTTGTTTATTTTGTTTTTTAGATTCCATGTATAAGTGAAATCATATGCTTTTTGCCTTTCTCAGATTTATTTCACATAGTATAATACTCTCTAGGTCCATCTGTGCTGTTGCAAATGATAAGATTTAATTCTTTTTTATGGCCATGAAATATTTCATTATATATACATACCACTTCTTTATCCATTTGTCTCTTGATTAGATTATTTAATACATTTTCATTAAAATTATTTTGATAGGTACATAGTTATTGCCATTTTATTGTTTTCTGATTTTTGTGTGTTCTTTTCTGTTCCTTTCCTATTTTCTTACTCTCTTTTGTTCTATGTTGATGACTTTCTGTAGTGTTGTGTTTGGACTCCTTTCTCTTTATTTCTTGTACATTTCTTGTAGATTTTTGTTTTCCAGTTACTATGTGCTTCACATATACCAAGCTATGTGTATAAGAAGTCTACTTTAAGTTGATGGCAATTAAGTTTCAATACATTCTAAAATCACTGTCATTATTACTCACCCACTCTATGTGTTTTTGTTATTAATTTTTATTTATTTTATGTGTATGCTTGTGTGTATCCTTCAGTTTACTGTTATGATTACACATGATCTTCATGATCTTCCTACTTTTTTGTATTTTAATCTTTGTGCTACCTTTTAGTGTTGTTTGATCCACTGCTTTTATTGTGTGTTTGCCTTTGTCAGTGAAATTTTTTTCTTTGTGCTATTTTCTAATTCATGTCTTTATTTCTTTGCTTAAAGAAAACATTCCTTATAATACTGATTTCAGGGGGTGAACTCTGTCAGCTTTTTCTTATCTAGGAAAACTCTTTATCTCTCCTTCAAATCTAAATGATAGTTTTGCTGAGTACAGTAATTTTGGTTGTAAGTTTTATTTTTCATTACTTTGAATATTTCACACCAATCTGTTCTGGCCTGCAAAGCTTCTATTGAGAAATCAGCTAACAATCTGTGGTAACCCCCTTGTAGGTAACTAAATGCTTTTCTCTTGCTGCTTTTAAGAGTTTTTCTTTGGCCCTGGCCAGGTGGCTCAGTTGGTTGGAGTGTTGTCCCATACACCAAAAGGTTGCAGGTTCAATTCTCAGTCAAGACACATACCTAGTTTGTGGGTTTGATCCCCTCTTGGAGCAGGGAGGCAACCAATCAATGTTTCTATCTCACATCAGTCTATTTATTAGATTTCACATATGAGTGAAATCATATGGTAATTGTCTTTCTCTGACTGGCTTATTTCACCTAGTATAATGTTCTCTAGGTTCATCCATCCTGTCACAAATGGCAATATTTTCTTCTGCTTCTTCTTCTTCTTCTTTACAGCCAAATGGTATCCATTGTATAAATGTACCATAGCTTTTTTTATCCACTTGTCTACTGATGGACAGTTAGGCTGCTTCCAATCGGTGTGGGACTACTCCATTTCTCATCTCCATCACTCCTATCTGTCAGGAACTGGCTTCTTTGTATCCTTAGCTATTACTTCTGTTCATTGAGCTTTTAAGTGGTTCTTGAGGGTGCCTGTTCTATAATTTAGTTGTAATTTTGATGTTGTCATGGGGGGAGGCAAGCACAGGGTTTACCTACTCTGCCATCTTAACCAGAAGTGACCAAATTTTTAAGAATCTATTTTAACTCCTTTTCTCAAAGGGTTTGAAGGCCTCCCAAGTACAGCATGTAAGGTCAGTCCCAGTAGTTTCCAAGAGCTACCATTGATGTACAAGAGGTAGCTGGATAGGTTTGGAGTGGTTCTGCTTAATCTTCCTAGCACCAGTTCCCTATATGTTCTGTGTCTGCTTTGTTGTCATTACAACTAGAAAAATAACTGATGCCAGACCAGAAACCAAGATCCTGAGACTACCACCTCTTACGTCATTCTTTGCAGTGCTTCTGCCTTGGCCTCAAAATGACCTAGTCCTAATGTACTCTCTATAATTTTGCAGACACTAGCCTGAGCATATGGTGCTCTGCTTCCCAGCTGCTCCAGTCTAACCCTTGCTGCCCTCCCTCAGGATCACTATGACTGGGGCCTGCGGGCCATCAAGTCTGTGCTGGTGGTGGCTGGATCTCTAAAGCGAGGAGACCCTGACAGGCCTGAGGACCAAGTCCTGATGCGCTCCCTGCGAGATTTCAACATTTCCAAGATAGTGACTGATGACATGCCAGTGTTCATGGGCCTGATTGGGGACCTCTTCCCCACCCTGGATGTCCCTCGGAGGAGAGACCTCAACTTCGAAGCTTTGGTTAAGAATGCAGTAGTGGAGCTGAAGCTCCAGGCTGAGGACAACTTTGTGCTGAAGGTACATTTTTCTTGCAAAATTTGTCTCCTAATTCTTTATTTAGACAATGCGTTATACTTCCTCCTTAATCCAAAGGGTTGCTTTAGTTGTACAGATATTTGTCTACTTTGTAATAACTCAGTTCATTTCAACAGTTCTTTTTCTTTAAAGATTTTATTTATTTATTTTTAGAGAGGGAAGGGAGGGAGATAGAGAGAGAGAGAGAAAGAAACATCAATGTGCAGTTGCTGGGGCTTATGGCCTGCAACCCAGGCATGTACACTGGCTGGGAATCGAACCTGGGACACTTTGGTTCCCAGCCCACACTCAGTCCACTGAGCTACGCCAGCCAGGGCTCATTTCAACAGTTCTTTACTGTGGCAGCCACTGTGTGCAATGCATGATGAGGAATAGAAAAGAGAGACAGGGCCCTGGCCAACAGGGAGTTCATGTTCAAATGGCAGAAATAAGACACAGTCTGCTCTGCCATGTGTTCCTTTAATGTGAATCATTTCAGACATGATTGTAGAGGAATGAAGTAGTATAATATGGAAGCCATGTGGGTTCACATACACTTTTCTGCTCTTATAAATATCTTGATGTAACTGGGGGCAGGCTTTTTACAATTAAAGAAAAATATCTTGAGGTGGTAGACAGAATAATTCTTTTTTTTTTAACTTTTTTTTTAAGATTTTATTTATTTATTTTTAGAGAGGGAAGGGAGGGAGATAGAGACAGAGAGAGAGAGAGATAGAGAGAGGGAGAGAGGGAGAGAGAAACATCAATGTGTGGTTGCTGGGGGTTATGCCTGCAACCCAGGAATGTACCCTGGCTGGGAATCGAACCTGGGACACTTTGGTTCCCAGCCCGCGTTCAATCCACTGAGCTACGCCAGCCAGGGACAGAATAATTCTAATCCACAGAATTTGTGACTGTGTTACATTACATGGCAAAGGGGGATTGAAGTTGTAGGTAGAATTAGGTCACTGTCATCTGACCTTGAGATGGGGAGATGATCCTGGTTTATTGTGTGCCCCAATATAATCACAATGACCTTTATAAGTGAAAGACTGAGGTAGGACCATGAGTGCCCGAGTGATACCAGGAAAGAAAGACTTAGCCAGCCACTGCAGATGTAGGAGGGGACCATGAGCCAGGCAACCATGTGACTGCCTCTAGAAGTTGGAAAAGGCAGGAAAATAGTTTCTACCCTAGAGCTTTCGGAAGGAACGAGCCCGGTCAATGCCTTGATTTGTGCCCAATGAGACCCACTTTGGACTTCTGACCATCAAACCAGTAAAATATTAAATTTGTGTTGTTTAAGTCTTTAAGTTTGCTGTATTTTGCTATAGCAGTAATAGACAATGAGTACATTTAGCCATAGATATAGGCTTTAAGAAAAAGGCCCTGAAACCTTAGTGCTAGTATAACTAGTTTTATTTATGGCCATAGGAACTATGGTAGTTTGTACTATTTTCTAGGAAGGCTCCAGGCAGGTAAAGACATTTCCCCATCTGTGAAAGCAGTAGATTAATGAAGAAGGCTCCATCTAGATCAGATCCTTAGTTGATTAGAATGGTCTTATTAGAAGTGAATCCAATTGCAAAAGAGCACAGGCCCCCAGATTTAAGGCTTCAGAGAATCAAGGGACATGAGATAGGGTAAAAACTCTGGTGATTTAATTGTGCTAGCATTTTCATTGGAATTAGGAGGCACTGTTAAGTTTTCAGGGATTGGAATACAAAATTCTGTACATTTTGAGTGGTGTCCCCTAATCCTGCTTTTCCATAAGCCTGTCATTTTTGCTGTGCAGTTTTGCAGAAAGTAACATTTTCAGGGTTCTGGGGTACAGATGCATGGATGGAAGTTTTTCTTCCTGTACAATAACATGTTGAAGAATCACATGAATATCACTTTAGATTTCACAGGGTTTTTATATTCTATATCACATTAGGTTTCCCCAAACCCTCAAGGCAGGTGACAGATAAGACATTTTACAGTAACTGGGATGGTGTTACTTTTCCAGGATATTTTACTAGGCTGTTTCACAAGATAAAAAGAGAAATGTAGGCTTGTGGGCAGGTCACTCCTGCTCCACTCCTGGAAGCGCTTCTGGCATACAATACTTTCAATAGTATAAATTAAGCCCTGACTATATATAAATAGAATTGCAAGTTGGTGTTTGATTTCATTTCTGGGTTTACATTTTACAGAAGAAAGTATCACCTGATCCTTTGCAGCAGAAATTATTTTGTGAGTTGACCCCTTCCTACTACCAAACTCTCACTTTTTAAGTTCAAAAATTAAGTATCTGAACTTAATTTTTGGTATTTTTAAAATTCTTGTTTATTCTATTACAGTTGTCCCATTTTTCCCCTTTTGCCCTCCTCTGTCCAGCCCACTCCCCCTCTCCAGCTCCCACAGTCCATCCCCACAGTCCATCCCCACACTGTTGTCTATGTTCATGGGTCATACATACATGTTCCTTGACTCCTCACTTCCCTTTCTTTCCACCACCCCCCTTTCCTCTGGCAGCTGTGAGGCTGTTCCATATTTCCATGTCTCTGATTCTGTTTTGCTGGTTAGTTTATTTTGTTTATTAGATTCCTCTTATAAGTGAGATCATATGATATTTGTTTCACCAACTGGCTTATTTCACTTAGCATAATAGTCTCCAGTTTCATCCATGCTGTCACAAAGGGTAAAAGTAGAGGTTGACAAAAAGACCTTCCAGGTAGAGGGAAGTGTCAGCAAAGGGGTAGATGGGGAAACAAAGATTGCACTAGCAGCAGCAAAAAGTCCAGTGTTGCTAGAGAAAAATGTATTGGAGGGGGTGGTGGTGGGGATTAGGCAACAGGACTCTAAAAGGTAATATGGAACCATGATACAAAGGGTTTGAATGCCAGGCTGAGGGGCTTCCTTTCAAAGAGTCTGATCACAAGAGGCACTGTCACCCCAGAGATGAGTTAAATTTGATGCGGTACACTGGGGCTGGTGTCTTAAATCAGAAGAATCCACATCTTACCAGACTCTGGCAGTCTGCTGAGCCGCTATGACCCTCCTTCCCCATTTTCTGCATTTTTCCTACTCAGAATTTTAGTCTTCCTTTCTCTTTATTTGTCAGTTGGCCCACATTCTGTATCCTCCCCTTCTTTTTCATAACCACTTTCTGCTCCTTGGGTAAGACAGATGCTCTCTATTAAAGGCTCTTGGAACAGATGATGTTTTCTACCAAGTTTTTATTAGAACTGTCCACTGAAACTTCTGAAGGTTAATCCATCAAAACCCCTAGAGAGTCTCTGGTTTGAGATGACATCCTGTGATCCCTTAAAAGTGATCATATAAATACAGTGCTTTTTTTTAAAAAAGAAAGAGGAATAAGTCCATTGAAGTGTGAAAACTAAGAAAGGGATAGTACAATAAATTTCTGGAAAAATGGAAAGAGGACAAAAGCAGGGTGATAGATCAAGCAGACCAGGAAGGGGATGCAGAATACACTTGGAAAGGGCTTAGGAGGAAGAGGGGTAGGAAGTGGCCATAACCTTGGAGAAACTCTGAACTTAGAGTTGGTAGTGAAGGAGGAGGGCAGGGATGAGAAGGAGAACTGAAAACAGCCAGAGGGGATCATTAAATCTGTTTATCCTATAATTTGCCACTTGGCTGGCTCCTCACACTCTTCTTCCAGCTCCCTGCACTATTCCCTGATTCCCAAGAACTCAGACTATGTGCAGCCAGGCATTTAACACACAGCCAAAAAGAAAAGTCAGGGGGAATTTAATAGCTCTGGGGAAATCGAAGACTACTACTCTTGGGGTACTAGTGCCCCCTTTAAAGTACTTTTCTTTTGTTTGGAGCCCCTTGGCCTGAAGGCCAGCCACCTGCTCACTCTGGTGAGTGAAAGGACAAGTGAAAGGACAAAGACAAAGCCCAAGGTCTGACCTTGTACACAGAGCTTCTTCTCAGTCCTCCCACCCTGATGAGAAACCTGTAAGTCAGCAGCAGACTGCACCCTTCCTAGCTCCTAGGAAATACAGTACAGCTCTTCATTTAACCTTGAGGCTCATCAGATACTGGGGAAAATCAGTAACATGAGAAACTCCGACCAATAGGCAGACAAGACAGGTAGATACACACCCAGTAACTGATTGCAGTGGAAATAAGGAAGACCACATTTTGAAAGTTCTAATTCATGTCCTTGAAAAAAATTAAGAAAAATATATTCATAAAACTGGAATGGGATGCTATAGCAGAAAAAAAATTATTGGAGAACTGTAAAGAGCCCTTTGAAATGAATTGTATTACTGATGACACACAGAATTCAGTGGGAGGACCAGGTAAAACAAGGAAATCTCTTAGAATGAAACCATGTATGTATGTATGTATGTATATTGGTATAATAAATACATATATATATAATGACTACATAATAAATATAACATAAATTATGTACATATAATATAATTAACATATAGTACACAAAAGGGACAGAAAGTACAAGAGGCAAGATAACATACAGAGGGTAAATCGAGGTTGAGTAATGTGTTACTGATGGGAATTCCAGAAAAACAGCGAGAACTTGCTAGACCTGGAGAGACATGTACCCATACTGGATGGCCTCAGTCAGTACTAAACAGAATGGATATAAATGGACTCACACAGAGGCATGTCCTAATGAAATTCAGAAGTCAAAGATCAAAAACAAAAGATAACTTTCCTTTTCAGTGAAAGAGTGGTAGCACAGGTGACTCAGGAAGAAGTGAGAGTCAGAATGACATCATAAACTCTCATATACTCAAGGAAAAAGGTGCCATTCCTTCAAAGTGCTGACAGGAAATGATCTCAAGACTACCATCCAAGTTATTTTCACAGTCATACATTTTACTTTGCATACACTTTTTTGTATAGGTTACTTGTGAACATACTACAGCAAAATAAGGATTAAAAATAAGAAAAATGTCATGGACTTAAAAAACAAGATCAAAATAAATATGGAATAATAACTATTAGAAGACCTAGAAAGC